AGGGGGGGAGAGGGGAGGGGGAGGGGGGTGGGGGCTAATTGTCCAAATCTCGTTATCGTTGTTTTGCGTTTCTATAGCCACCACCTGCTCTCTCTCCCTCTCTCTCGCTCATTTCAGGCCATCGAAAACTCCTCATCGGGGAGCCAAACTTGCTCCTCAGCGATCACTCTTCAGTTGTTTTGTTTGCTTATGGTGGCTGCGTTTTGGAATTGTAACAACGTAATATCTAAGACGCGAAATACGCCTCGACTGTAAACACATAAAGTATTTACTCACCACCACCACCCCTCCTCCTCTCTCTCTCTATCTTCTGCATCATAAAATCGACTCAAACCTCGGTTCATGTAGGATCGATTTTTCGTCAATTTAAATGGAACTCATTGAAGAATTAGGCTCTAGTTATGTTTTTTTTTAACTTGTACAGGTGTGAAGCAATTAACACCGTGATTAGAAAGTAGCTTAATGATTTGGAAGGTTAAGTGAAATCATGTTTGCTGTCAATTTCTCGAAAGAAGGTAATTGAACTCCTTTTTTTCGAAGAGTACTCTTAATTTGTCACTCTAATTGTGATAGAATTATATGTGTGAGGGTTTTTTTGTTGAAAATAGCTTGAACACGACCGTCTTTCCTTATGGATTCAAGGAGCTCTGAATAGCCCATAAATTCCACACGATGATATCTGCTTTGTGGAAGAAATGACAATAGGCAAATCTTATTTAATTTCATGAAATTTTACTCGAGTAAAAGCTACTCATAATTATCTTTTGTAATTTGTGGCCTTTCCAAAGTTCTAAGGCCTCATTTTCAAACTGATACGTCTTAGTTGTACCTAAAAACAATGAGGGGATTGTAATATGCAGTGGCCATGCCATCATAATATCATCTGGCACCGGCTTTCCTTCTTCCCGGGATTTCAACAATCTGTACTCTTAGCTCACCGAATTGGCTCTTGTCATTACCTGAGCTTTAAATAATAATTACTATCATATGATCTTCCGCTCTCGGATAAATTTGATCTGTCTTGTGAGATGTGTTGAGTTGAGCTCGGTCTTCATAAAGGGGAGAAATATCAGAGTCACGAAGAGTCGAGAGGGAGGTGGGGGGTGGGTGGGGAAGAGAGGAGTGATTCACAGATGTAAAAGAGGCAGACAGACACAAAGGTAGGTCATGGTAGTTTGAAGTGAGAAGTCAACTGCCGGTTGATTGGCTGTTTTTGCCGTATGAGTATACATTGTCCAGGGTGGTGCCAAGTCTATCGCGCCCCCCCCCCCCCTCTCCCCCCTTCAGAACTAGAAATCTATATTAAATAGGCATGTTATTCTAAATTTCCAAACCAGACTTTATTGGTAAAGATGATTGCTTCATTTTCCTCCTAGTCTCAACATATATACTTGTAATGAGAATCACTAACATCTCCGCGTAATAACGTACAAAATGGTGAAACCACATGTATTCAAGTAAATTCAAGTGGAAAGTTGTTGCCCCATTTACTTAACTAAGTGCGATCAAAGTTCGTTGTGCTTTAAGGTTGAGTTTACTTAAGTTGGCTGAATTTATACTGCCACGCCTGACAATCGACTTCCTTAGAGTACACCCTGTTGCCGGTCAATTGGAATGGTGACAGAGCGGTGAATGACTTCAAAATGCCTGGAAGACACCGGCCGGAACTAGTTAAGGTTGAGTCTATTGATACTTTAGCCACGCATTCGAGCTGTTCAGTCATGTATCACTTTTTAAATCAATAATTTTTTTTCTTTGTCACAAAGAAATGAGGATGTGAAATAGAACTACTACTTCAATTGTTTGAAATGAAGAAATGGTAAAAATTGAGAACCTACTGAACCATTGACTTTCCACATTATTTCACGACTCTGCAATGAGAAAAAAAGGAGATTAAGTCGCTTTTCCTATTTGGTAGATACAACCTTGTTCATTTTAAAGATGGAGGTGAGATCAAGGTCGGTTAATGCACAATGCGATTTGTTACATTGTGATCAGCGCCTCTTGTTGCCAACTGGGATGTCTATTGTATCAACCTGCTCACCTGAAACCCTTGACTTGCTTCCGAGGCTAAAAGCCGCAATAATGACTGAATATACCCGCTCTGAGGGACATATGAGTGGTATTCTGAGTAGAGGAGGGTTAGCTTCGACGTACTCTAAAGCCCAATTAGTAAAGCAAAGTATAAAATCGCAAAGGAAAGCAGAGAGAGAGAGAGAGAGAGAGACGCTATCGTCAATATTATAAGTCTCGCTTAAATCCCCCCATCCTCCTGACAGCTACTAGTGACAAAGAATTTGGAACAAGCTTTAAGCAAGTACTGACTGCATTGCAAAAGTGTCTCCATCGCTTTCATGAAATCCTATCACTCCTTCAATCAATCAGAATGCCAGGAGTTGGTGGAGGAGGATGGGTGGTGGAGACCAAATTGTGTATTATGCTCTAGCAATAGAAGCTCGAGAAAGACGGAATAGAACTTCCGCGTCACCAGTTTCACAACCATTGTGTGTCTGAGTTATGGTGTTTTTACTTATAGGCAGTGAATGATACTGTGTATGAAAGTTCAGATGTGACTGTGGTCAGTTGTCAGTACCGGTGGATTAAGAAATACGACTTCTACTACGTCTCCAATGCCTGTGACGCTCCAACCGAATTCGCCATTCTCGGTGTAGTCTCATTCTGCTTAACACTGCTCAACATTATTCTCATCATCATTACTGGCTACCTTGTCAATCGGGTAAGTCGAAGTGATGCAATTCTTACTCCCAATTTGCGTGGTGCGAACTTACTTATTGCCACCGCCATTCGTAAAATGTCACTCACAACTGCATCCAATTCTGTATTTGTGTTTTCTAATCACGCCTTTCAGACAATGACAGAAAGTCATTTCACTCCTTGCTCCACAATTTTGACCCTCGGAAACAAATTGTCTATCAGGGTGGTAAATGCATGTCATGCAAGTAGTTTCCACGCACGAAGAATGCAGATATCACCGCCTGGCACTTTGACGATCTGAGGTGGAGGAGTAAACGTCGAGGTCATTCGTCGATAGGCCTTTTGAAGCACAATGCAGATGGATTTTATTACTACGAGTTATAGAGGACCTTCAGGTTGTTAGAACTGGCATTTACCGATTGAAATTTGCCAGACCTGGGTCAGCTACAGTTGGAGCGGTATTCATTAGACAATCAACATTATTACGGTGGCAACATTTTTAATTCCCTATTTGTCCTTTATTGTGGCTACCGCCACTCAGATTCAAATAATGGTAAATTGTAGACTTTGAGCTCAAATAAGGGCTTTAGAAATAAAATTACTTATATGTGATCCTGAATAGACAATAAGTGATTGGTTTCCTGGTTAGCCAATAAGCGCAGCGAGATGTTATCAAGGGGATGCAATCGTTTCAATAATCGCGGTGCATGGGAACGAGGATTTTGAATTTCTTTGAAAAAATTAACCAAATCGATTAGATGTCGCTGGATATAGGGAACTCTGAATAGAGCATCGAGTATTGTAGCACTTTTAGTTCAAAAATTGTTCCACGATAAGAATGCTTTCTATTCCAACGAGAATTAAACCAAAAAGATTAATCGTTATTTTTAGAGCTTTCAATGAGTTCTCTGATTAGATAATGGCAAAATGGGCCACCTATTCAAATTATCTCGCACACTCACCTAGAAAGAAATAGAAATAGATCTCCCACTTATGATCCTACCGCGTTTGAGGTGTTCGTCCTTCCACTAGAGCTTCCCTCAGGCTTCAAATAACCCGATCTATTTTTTCTCTTTTGTGGTGAATTCGAATCGAAATCTCCTCTCTTGTGTTTCAGCTCAAAGATTTGGTTCCACAATCCTTCACAAACGATGAAACTCGACGATTCTACACCAAAGACTTGAAGGTAAGTGCCTACTCCCTGCTAAATTCGGCTTTTTCTTCCAGGCTATTTACTCACATTTTCAAGTTTACTACTTATTTTTTTGAGAGAGAGAGGAGACAAACTTTGTTTATCTTCTTCTGTTCTTTCGTGTTTATTCACTAAAATGAATGTCCCATTCACAGCTTTGAAAAAGTGGAGATTGATATGAGTGCGCTTTAGGAGTGTTTAAAAAAGCTTCCAAGCCTCTGCGAAGAGAAGGAGAAGAAAACAAACGATTGTGGAATGGTTTTTCACCTTTATAAGCAAACGTGGCTGAAAAAGGGTTTTCCAGTGTATCAGACATCTCTGTAATATCCTCTTTCTATCCCTTTTTCTCCCCCGAATTGTAGGAAGTGAGAGATAACTACGATTGTGTGCATCGTATGAAGGCGACGGATTTAGCCACTCAAGCCTACCAGGAGTACATTCGACTCAACGGTGGTGGTTACACGGAAGAAGAAGCTGATCAACTCACTGCCGATTTTCAGGCTGTCATGGAGGGCATTGGCCACGATCCTCATCTGCAAACCATCACCTCTTGGACACATGGTGGTGGGCGTGATTTCCTGGTCAGTTGCCTCCTCCGTCTATATGTCTATTTTTTCCTTCAATTTGATTCCATAATCCCCACGGAGATATTCCTCTTAAAGCATGGGAATTATTAGTATATCATGCGAAAATTGTGGTCATTTTGTGCTATTCTCATCCTCTTCTTTGAGATACTGATTGAGATAGGCTATCCACCTTTGTCTGCAGTGCTTGTTAAATATGTAACGACCAATTGCGTAAGTTGTATTTAGAAATATTTGTTTTTATCAAATAACAGACTTTATTATAGTCACCATTAGCCCTTTAGTTGACTTCGGGCTTCACAGAGGAGGAGGAACAGACAGTCACAAAAAGTGGAGAGGGGTAGCAGAGGAGTGATTCACAGATGTAATAATAGGTAGAGAAAAAGGTAAGGTGAGTATTGTGGTGGTGGTCGAATATGATGTACAGTTGGGTCATGGTAGTTTGACGTCAGAAGTCCACTGCCAGTTTATGGACACTTTGTCGAATGAGTATACGTTGTCGAGAGTGCACCGCGTAGAGGTAAGTCTATCGCGCACCCCAAATTAAGAAGTATTCAAATGGCAAAATCATTATCTTCCTCTCAAGGTTGAAATGTCATTCTTATCATGTTTCCGTACATTTTGCTTGCATTTTTCAGCTTGTGGAGGTGGAAACCACGTGTTTTGGTTTCCCTCAATCACACTAGACTTCATTCCACCTAGACTTTTCAGCAGCCTTCTTACTAGCTCCTGGTAGTAATAGTAAAGACCTCTAACTGTCAAACTAAATTAGGTAGTTGTCACATGTCAGCTCTCCTGGTAAGGTGTAATTGTGATATTCTCGTTATTGATTATTTAATTGGGACTCTCACAGTTGATGGGATTCTGAAAGTCTAGACTCTCACTATAGCCATCCAATTGAACTACTTTGAGGAATTCGACCAATTTAGGCTTTGAATTTTTCCTCTTCAAAACTCCTGATCCTTAGAAGTACCTCCTTTTCCTAACCCAGAACCCCAAGTTCAGGTGGGCGGGGTGGGGGGTGTATGAGACCACGCAAAGGAATGAGATAGCCAGTGATGGAAGCTTGGAATGGAGGAACAAGTAACAAGAAATGATAATCTGAGCAAGATGCCTCTTCACTTGGTCAATAATATCTCTGTTTTATTCAGGCTGAATTCGCTCGAGCCACTGAATTCCTGACACAAGCGCCGGAAAATCTAACCGTTTCAGGAAGCGGAGCAAATGGAGTTATTCCTCGCGTATCTGTCTCGTCGGTAAGTTGATCACCTCACTTAGATGCTCGTGCTATCGCTTGAATTATTTTCTACTGATAAGTAGTCAGTAGCTTTAGCTGCTTTGTTAATTAGTGGTAGAAGTAGCGTTGTGGTGTATAATGCATCTATTTATTAAAGGAGGGTGGTGGTGCCTACAAAAGCCAGCACCTTATGCCATTTCCTCGACGTCAATCTAGCTGTATGGAGCGTAGATCTTCACGTGAGCTTTATCCCGACCTTCCACGTGGAGTTTTCTCAAGTCAGGTCAGTGAATACGTGGTCCCTTCACCTCGCACTGAAACTCTTGAATTTGGCGCCCTGCACTGCACTGCTGTGATTAAGGCGTTCAATTATATTGTCCTTTTCCCTGATGTTATTTTTCCTCCCCTTGTAGAATACAATAATTGGATCAAGCCGACATCGATACCTTCGACAACTCGCGTCAATTGAGGATGGTGAGAACCTTTCAGATAATAACTTTGTGAAGATAGAAATACCCGATGGCAATGGTGGGAATAATGATTCGGATAATGATCCGGGTGGATCGAGTGTATCTTCAATGCCCCGGCATTCGTATATGCAGAGTCAACGTCACACACGTGCCGGTTCCTTCTGGCGAAATTTGCTCAGCAAACGCGCCGTCTCATCGGTTCAAGCACCTTTCAGGCCGCCTTTAGACGATGAAGCAGAAGCACAGGGTGCGAATTTTGACGTAACGGAGAAAGTAAACGGCGCTCCTTGGAAATTTAAACGAACCCCGGATGAATTGAGTGAACCACCCGCGGGTACTACCTTCGGCTTCCAGACTGAGCTCTCATGTGTACCTTCAAGCGAATCGGAGGAGTCCATTAATGAGCATGGAGTAAGCACTGGCGGTAGTAATAAAGATACAAATCGGGAGCCCTCAGTGGAAGCGAGAGCTCCTCCCGTGCAGGGTAACAGAATATCTCGAAGTGGTGAGCTTCCCCCATCCATATCCTCAGTGGGTATTATCAAGTTCATTCTAATTGTGTCTATCTTTCCCACTTTTAGCCTTTGATGTTTCCACAGTACTACCCCGAAACCGTATGTTTATGGCACATTTCACTACAGCTTTATTTAAAACCCTCTTTTATAAACACGTGTCATACTGGCTATTATTTTAAAGAAATTCCCCATAAACGTGAGTTTTTTCCGATGTCTGTTCATGCTTGAACGTTGAATGGAAGTTCATTGTTTGTTGGATTATCTCGCTTTGTGCATGCCATATGTCTTGTGGAGGGGTTCTTATTTATACCTGAGGTGGGGATTCAAACCCATTACTTGGCGCAAATTTCCAACTCGTTGCAATGAATGGTGTGTTGGGTGATGTGATAGACACTTTTATAGACAGCATACTCTTCGGTGAAGATTTTTGCCGAGAACTGGGGTGAAAATTTATTTTTCCCAGCAACGCCGCAAATACTAATGCAAATATTTATAAAAAAAGGCGCAAAATTTATTGTGAAAATATTTCAATTCACCCGAGAGTAATCAATTCCCCCCCCCCCCCCCCCCCCCCCCCCCCCCACCCCACCTCCTGGTTGATTTTGGTCAACAAAAGTTCCAATAGCACGAGATCTCCTCAACTACACACAGCTCCAAGCTAACTCTATCGACAACCAATTGAATTGCTAGTTTGTTTACGTGACTTCTTCCGTATCTCCTATATTAGTTTCAGCTATGCTTAACCATGGCATTTATTCGGACTCTACCGAAATCGCTTTCATTGTTGCTTGTTTAATGTTTGCTTTTCTCTCTCTCCTCCTCTCCCCCTCTCAACTGACTTGTTGCTTTGTTTTCAGGAAGCCTAGCATCAGTATCAACGATAGGAGGAAAGTTCGAGGTGGTTCCCACCATTAGAAAACCTCATTCAACCAAAAATCTTGGATCCAATCTTCTGAAGGATCTTTGACGTTGTCCGATATATTGGTCGCTATTGCTGCCTTAACTATTTAAACGTATATTAACAAATGACCCCCCCCCCCCCCCCCCCCCCCCCCCCCCTCCCACTCCCCCACCCCCACCAGGCACTATTCCCCACATTGAACTTCCATTTGCACTATTTTTTTCATCGATTTAATATACATTTATGCGTATTTATGAATACAGACGCTAATGAGTGCCGTGTCTTTCTAAAGTTCAGGATTTTGGCTTATAAAAAGAATTGGTTATTCTTCTTAATTTTCCTGTGATATCCGAGAGTAGGCGTCTCTACGTCTTTTTCTAAGATAATTTTTGCCAACGTTAATGTGACCCACTGGACTGTTTCCAAGCGTCTTAGTTGAGGAATATTGTGTTTGGATTTGTGCTCGGAGCCTTTTTGCGTTGTTCTTCCAACATGTGAGGTGGACTGGACGCATTAACAAATAGGTATTTTGTGGATGATTAGGGAACTATCACAGCTAAATTGTGAGAATCGTAAAAGGAGTTAATAACCACCCATAATTGTCGATCATAGGTTTCTGATGACTCATCTCTGAGCAAGATTGGCTTCTAACGTTTATGGTCAATTGGACGTTTAGAGCATCCACTACATTAGTTGTTTATTTCTATCAAATGGCAGGCGTTTTGATTGTTATCATTAGCCCTTGAGCTGACTTCAGGCTTCACAGAGGTGAAGGAGAACTGAAGAGTGCTTCAAAGACGAAGGTAGAAAAAAGGTGAGGTGAGTACTGTGGAAGTAGTCCAATATGACAAACAGTGGGGTCATGGCACTTTGAAGTGAGAAGTCAACTGCCGGTTTATAGACTTTTTTGACGTATGAATATACGTTCCCCAGGGTCCACCACGTGGAGGTAAGTCTATTGCACACTACATTATAGTGAATTGTCCATTGCCCATTACTTAGAGGGATAAATTTATTTGGACTGAATTGATTTATTAAGTCTATATGGACTATAGCCAGCGTAAATTTATTGATCGATTTGATCACAAATCGGTCACCCGCTCTCAGTGCGCTTACATCACCCAGCCTATGTGGGGAGGTCAAGTAAGTCGCCACCTATTCACTCTCTCTCTCTAGGTTAGTATTAACATAGTGGAAAAGATAAACTAAACTTAGCTGTAAAGATTGTGAAAGAGTACTTCATTTTCTATCCTGTTCGGATGATTGACCGAAATTATTGGTTTCTTATTAATAAAATTTAACATTATTAATATATTGATAAAATGATATTATTTAATATTATTCAGTTATCTCTCGGTCTCATGCTTGGATACATATAGCGATATTTGCCTAAATTATGCTTGACGAAAGATTCACAGCGCAATTTCAATCCAAAATGCTCGCATGCTGATTTGTGATGAAAGTCATTGTTTTGGTGAATTTTGCTAATTATTTTGATCCACTTGATTAAGTATCTGAATTAGCCAATTGCCTTTATATGCTGAGAATATAGATTAAAGGAAGTAAAAAAGAAATTTACTAATGGCTAATCTGTGCTAAAATGTGCCCAAAAATGTAATACGGTTTTTTATTTCAAAAATAGGTTTGTTTATATATGCTCAAATGAAAGGTTTAATTACTATTTAAGAAAGCGGTGTATCGACGAAAAATGTTAGCATATTTTTATGTGCCCTGCGGGATGTCATCACCCACACGTAATAGCATGCATTCATTCAGGCCTTCTTATCAGATCTTGGTTGCGCTACGCGAAACTTTCATTTTCACCATTATGACAATCAGCAGTTTATTTACTAAAGTATGTCACGTTATACAATGCGGATAAGTTACTAATTGGCAGTAATTTTGAGAGGAAAGTGATCTCCTAAGTTCATATTGAAGTCATTTTGTTGCTATTTATTGCAATGGTCTGACTTGCCATAGGGATTTTTGAGTCAATCAAGGCTTTAATAGTGTAGCAATCCGCTACAACCCGGGGCTGTTTGAGATGTCTCTAAATAATTGACATTCCCAGTTATGCAGGAAGGTATGACTTTCATTTGGAAACTTTTAAAGTAGGGCCCTGTCTTGATAAATAATTAAGCCAAGATAACAATGCACGGTAAAATAAAATGATAAGCGACAACGCTGCGGTCGGTTCTGCTTTGAGAATAAAGAAGTTCTGTTTGGGTAAATGATTGGACTAACATTCACCATTTTTGTCAGGACAAATTACTTCGTTCACCTCAGATTCTTGATTTTTGACATTATTGTTCAGGTTCGTCAAGTTCAAAAGCATTAACTTAGTTATTAAATAAATAACACTTATTCAGTTATAAGTATTCAAACGTCTGCAGTAATTAAATCGGTATTTATTTAGCTTTAATATTGTGCACTAACGATATTACAAAGATAGATAGACCCAATAGAGTGTAACCTGGTTGTGTAGAAATCGTATACATAAAGCCTCACTCTCTCAGAGAAGAATCTCTCCCGAGTGGATTGAAATAGATTATATAAATTTTAATTGCTCATATTTTGTATGCCATAAGTTTTTTTGAAAAATTCCATCGAATTATTTACATTTTATAAATATTTTTATTAATGACTAAGACGTTAAGTAAGCAATATCTCGTTCTGGCAGCCTAAAGGTAATAGAAAAATACGTCAAGTGATTTGAATAAAGGCTCTTCTAAGCAAATATGCCAATATGCAACATATCAATAAAAAATTCCTCAGTGACATCTATATAAAAGCAATGAACCACAAACGATTTTAAAAAAATTAAAAAATATACCAAATAGCAATTCAAATTAGGTATTATTGTAGTTAAGGAAGAATTTCAGCCATTTCACATAAAGACATAAAATAATTCCCCTGAATTTCACAGCATTTTTAACTTGAACTTATGGTGAATCAGACGATATATTTAAAGTTATGACCATATACATCATATTTTACAAAGTTTGCATACATTTTTAAATAAAAAACAGGCAAATCAAATGGAATAATTTTAAATATACTTAAAAAAGAAAACCTTCTTTATCCATCTTATTAAATTTATAATCTTTTTTTAGTATTTATTCTAATATTACAGTTAAAAAATGTACTTCAATGGTTAGTTGTTTGTATAGCCTACTTCGGCTTTACCTTGCACGATAACATAACTTGCGCGTATATTAAAATGACTATTCGATACTTATCTTCTGTAGCTACAAGCTCCACTTTTGCCTTTCTTAAACTTTTATTTCGGTAAAATAACCTTTTCTATCAGAAGTAATATTAAGATGGAAGGGGAGTGTTTACCGATATATTTGGATTGAATTTTTACTTCTGTGCGGAGTCTATACATTTGTCGCTATTACGTACAGGTTTATAATGACAGAAACCCTACAAGAGTACGTATTTCGTTCTTGCTTATATCTTGCTCTTACTTTTCACTTTTGTATAATTATTTACGCAATCATTGGAACAAATTACTATTTTTTATACAAAATAATGAAATAACACTTATTTCACATTTTTAATGTAACCACACACACTCTACTTAATGAGATATTACGTGTTCTAATTACTTGTTTAGATCGTTTGCTAATTATTGTGCTTATTGCGCCTATTCTGGTGAAAGACTTCCCATTTACTTTGTTCTCGGTTTTTTCGTCGACACAATAGTTGCTCGTTGGTGGGAGCAATTTTGCACTCTACCCTGGCCAGATGAGTTGGCAATGCTTTTGTGCGCCTATTCAAGAGGAAATTCAGATCGTGTGCGCATGCAAAGGCGTACCGTTATGCGATATATGAATCTTGCTTATGTTTTTGCTTCCTTTGATTGCTGCTCTCGTACACGTTTGCGATTCCCCTCAGAATTTAGTCTCATATCAGCTGGTTAGTTCAACCGTGGTATCTCATTCACTTTATTTACTTAGGTATGGCAACCGAGCAAGAAATATTTACCTACATTCACAGCGCTCCGTTAAATAACGTACAAAGTTATATGATGCCCACTATCTGGGCAGATAACCTTATACTTCAAATGCGTCAAGAAGGTTCAATTGTTTCCGATCGAGCTGTCGAAATACTTCTGAAAGAAATAATGGATTTTCGAGGTCGATTGGGAACAATACTCTGTTACGATTGGATCTCTTTGCCCTTAGTATATACTCAAGTAAACAGGTCATTGTATATATATATATATTTTTACGATCTAGATCGCTACGCTGATCGTCTACAGCTACACAGTCTCCTGTATCTTTTCATGGCAATTTTCTGACGCTGATGATATTGATATCTATATCCCCTTATTTGGCTTATTACACTTCGTCTTCTATATGGGTTGGCTTAAGGTAGCGTGTGTGCTGCCTAATGTGGCATGATCCATATTTGTTAATTTTTAATTAATCCACCTCTTGCCTGACATGCTTTGCGTGTGTGATATTTACCTATTGCACGTATTGTCTGATCCAAATTGTACAGTCTGTTGGTTAATAGACTGATAATTATTTTCTACTTCAACCTGTGTCAATCTAACAAAACTCAGGCCTGTAGCTGACATATATAATTTTACTTCCAATCCACAAGCTTGTGTGTTTTATTTTTTGTTTATTTTGACTTTTCTTACTTACTTTAGGTCGCGGAATCGATGATAAATCCCTTCGGTGAAGACCAAGATGACTTTGAACTTGATGAAATTGTTGAAAGAAACTTGCAGGTTTGTTACTTTTATTTTTCCCGTTCCTATTGAATAGAAATGAGCTATTTTTGAACCTTGCTCGGGAATTTCTTCCTTATCTTATAAATTTAAGTCTGATTGGTTAATCCATTTGCATTATTGATCCCAACGGGGTTTGATAGCAATACCATAGTTATGTAATACATGTTTGTGGTACTATTTGCTCTATGTAAATATGAGTAAATTTTGCAAATTTTGTTAACAAATGAGAAATATTTATCTATTTTTCACATAATTTCCATGCTTCTTGTATTTTTTATTAATTTTGAGACGTATTCATAAATGACTTTTTCACCTTTGTCCACCAATTTTATTATCCTTTTTGTTAAAAAAACGCGTGTGTACGATCATAAAAATATTCGTTTCAAAATGCATACCTTGGGTTCGTTAAGACATTTTTATTGACGCCTATCCCTATTCCCAAACGAATCATCGGAATACATTTACGTTGGATACAGACTTGAGAACTTGTTACGCTTATTTACCTTGCTGCCAGTGTCTTAATAGTACATTTTCTGATCAGTACACTATGACCTTGCATTCAGTCGGCAACAGTCTGATACAATAGATTAAACTACAGGTTGCGTATTGAACTTCAGATCTCCTTTCAAATTGTGGACTCAATGTATGATACTGTTCCCCCACTAAGCAGAGGTGTTGTGCTGGATAACTTCGAAAGTGATCGACGTGCGTCTGCTGCCAGTGTTGGACCACGACTATCTACAGTAGGCAATGAACTCTTCTCAGGATCTCTCGTAAATGTCAATGTAAACTCCGGGAAAAGGACTTTGTCCAATATTTTTGGGTTAGTTTTGACCAATCTACGCATCTAATAGTAATTATCGTCTTAATCACAAATATCAATATTTTTTATTGTTTTAGATCAAGAGCAAAGGCTAATTCGATAGTAGACTAGTATTTTAATCAACAAATGACTATTATAGTCTGTATTTAAATCCACTGTTAATTTCGAATAATATTGTGTGCCTTTGTGCTGAACTTAATGAGAGCAACTTCTCCGTAACCTCATAGAGCAAGTACGATGAGTTTAAAGAGTGAAATTAATTATTAAAGTGCAATAAGTACTATGCCAGTGGCTGATTAAGAACTTCACCCTTAGGGTATAACACACACTGGTTGACTTGACAAGCAGCAATTCCGTTGACATTGGCCAACAAAAGGGAGCAAGGGAAGGAATTTCAAACATGGAAAACTTCGGAATAACACATAGAATGAAGGAATCAGTATTCAACGTGATGATGACTTATCAATGAGCGAAAATATTTATTTATTTATTTCCAATGTCAGGTGTTTTGGTAGTTATCATTAGCCCTTTGGCAGACTTCGGGGTTTCATAGAGGAGAGGAACATCATAGTGAGAAAAATTTGAGAGAGGGGAAAGAAGAGTGATTCACTGATGTAAAAGGGGCAGACACAAAGGCAGGGAAAAGGTAAGATGAGTACTGTGAAAGTGGTGGAATATGGCATACAGTGGGGTCATGGTAGTTTAAAGTGAGAAGTCAACTGCTGGTTAATAGACTTTTTTTGTCGTATGAGTAAGTATTGCCTAGGGTGCAAAACTTGGAGATAAGTCTAACGCGCACCCCAAGAGCGAAAATATAATCGTATTTTCAACTTTTAAAATTTGATGATACGTATTAAGTAAATTCCTAATATCTAATTTTTTACCGGCTTCTAAGTTGTCGTCTTTGCCGTGCACGTAACTCTATGCCTAATATATTTCATTTTTTTAAATGACCCAATGAAAAAGTGGGCCATTTATGATGTGACAATTTGGCATGTACTTCTTCGTTTATGCAATAGCGAGTCGATGGTAGACTCAGCTTCGAGAATTAGCTTGGCCTGATGAATTGGCTTTCAATCTTGCCGTGTACATTCATGGAAGCAGCGAATATATTCGCAAATAAAGGCGAAATCCCGTGAATTACATCAACCTATCTTATGTCCTTGTTTTTCGTAGCATCTCTGTTCAAGTTCGACTTAGATCTCCATCAGAATTTAGCTTGGTCAAAGTCTGTGTTTTTCCTATTCTTATTTTTATAGGCTAAGTGACAGTAGATGAACTAGTACTTTATGCCCTAATATTCCCTGTGAACTAATAGGATCATTTCACAACTCCCTTGATCTGAGCTCAAAATAATATATTCTAAGTGGAAATGAAAGATCGATAAAATCAGATATGGCTGTGGAAAGCCTCTTAAAATTAGTTTCAGATGTCCGAGCGCAAATGGGAGCAGACTGTTTTTTACTCGGGTGCAATAATTCTGTAATTGTGATAAAATTTACGAAGGTGGGAACTATATTGACATGTTTCTTTTCATATTCACTTGTTCTTGCCTCGGTTTCCATATTCCGACGTCTGGGCTTTTGTACTTCTTCCTTTACATGGGCTGGCTGAAGGTAAACATGATTGAGATTTTAAAATAGCTAACAAATATAGTGTTGGTATGCCCCTAGGATAGCGTACTTTAGCGTATATTGTGTATTTAAATTGCGATAATACAATTTGTTCTAAGACGGAACCTTAAAAAATTACAATTTGGCTCATTTTTCACAAGGTTTGAAGCGATTATAGTTCAACTTTAGGTAGCCAAAAATCTTATAAATCCATTCGGTCGGTATGCAGTTGATTTCGAGGTTTCTGATTTGGCTGAGAGAAACGTGCAGGTAAGTTGAGTTTTGCCAAACGATTAAAATCTAAAATTAAATAAAGAATATTAAGAAACTTGTTTGGCACTCCTTTGTTTCCAGCTTGTTCAAATGCTCTCTAACTAAGCACAATTAAAATTGAAATGCAGATTATCTCGCTTAACGCATGACCTGTTGCTATTAACCTGGTTTCAGTCCGTTCAAAAATGTGAAGGTGACTAAAAATTAAGCGACACTTAATAGGATCAATAAAAATACAAAACACAAATGATGTTAACGTTAACTTATGATAGTGTAGACTTAAAGAAATTCTTATTAACTGGATGAGTGTACTCCGGTGTGAATGTTAGTGTCTGTGAATTATTTATTTTCTAATTATATCAGTTATGGTTTATTTATTGCTTTCGTCCACGTTCTTAAGTAGTCAGGTCAACATTCACATTGGTGTGCCTAACCAGATACTTCACTTATGATTTTTCAGGGCAGTTAAATAAGAAACAGACTATAATAAATTCAGAATAATAATTTATTTATAATCGTTGATTTCCTTGTAGATTTCATGTCACATTGTGGAAGGTATATATGATCGAGTCCAGCCGTTGAGTTTAGGATGTGGATCATGCTATAACTAACTATTCGCATTTTGCCGAGATCATAATTTGCAATACGCCTCTTTCCTCCCTAGCTTAGCTACAACTCAGCTAGTATGGAAAGTCTAGTTAGTTACAGGAGATACTACCATAGAGACAGATTTCTGAGTCGGCGAAGTCTTTACAAGTGTAACAATCCACTACAAGGAATAATGATGATTAGAGTCACCAATGATAACGAAATCAATATTGCGGCGTCTGAATTGTGTTTCGACTCTTAATTGTGATCAGTTTGCAAGTTAACTACAAAATATATGTATCAGAAAATTTCATCAATGAAAATCAGCAAGTATTTAAGAATGGTCCCAAATTTTTTGCTCAAAATCTGACATAAAAGTTAAAAATATCGATCACACAGCAGATATACTTACCTAAAGTTCTAATCAAATAAAATCTTAATTTGATCTATATAAGACGAAGCGATATTTACATAGTTATAGGTTGAATAACTTATTTCTCTAGCGAACTGCTAATATTAATGATCAAACAAAATTGTCCTAACCAGCGTATTCCATTTTCATCAGATTTTGGACAAATTTACATTATGCTTATTAAAAGATCGCCATTCTGAATATCGATAATACAACCGGTCACGATGCCATAGCAAAAGATAATTGGAGTAATATTGAATGATAATCTTCAACGTATTTATAAATTAAGAATTCTGTAATGTGAAGTCTCAAAATTTGACCAAGATGAATGATAGGCTCATTAAGCTGACCTAGTAAGTATATGATTAGCCCACAAAATGCTAAGATACACCTGTCTGTGCAGTTCCAGTCGTTTGGAATTTTTTTACCGACAGAAGCATACTCGAATTTCGCCGATAGCCGATGCTTTTAATTATGGACCCAAAAATATTCCAATCAAAGGCAAGAAGATTACGGGTATGTCATTCAATCACAAACAAACATAAATAAGGCCTTTTTGGGGTTGAATCGTTGATCAACCCTACTGGTTTCAAGACCATGCTTGACGAATGTTTTAGTGACTGTCATATGCTTGTAAATGAGGCAAAGTATGAGAATCGTAAAAGAAAAATGGTTCAGGTACTATGATTTTAGTGTAAATGACTTCTAGATTCTGGATGATCTTTCTGACAGTCTTTGTCGTGTCGCTGATTTAGCTGATTGCGTTCGAGCCCTGCATCCAGATCAGGCTTATCAAAGTGCCGCTAATGATGTTTGCATCCACGTTGGAAATCTAGTCGAAAATCTAAACACTGATGTTGAGCTTTACAATGCGTCTCTTAAAGCTATCACAGATCGGACTTCGTCAACGCATAATCCTGAAATAGATTGTGACTCAGTCGATCAGCGTGTTCTCTCTCTCTTCGTTGAAGATTTTGAGCAATCCGGTGTTCATCTAAAGGAAATATCTGATCGGCAAGCGTTTCTCAAAGCTGCATCTGAAAACCTAGAACTCGGAGTTGAATTCAATCGAGTAGATCAATTATTCAGTTTCTTATTCATTTATATAGATTGCCAATTCTCCTGTCATTCTCGATTCCTCGTCTTTGAATGCAATTTCTAAGGATGTTGATTGGAGACCGTTTAATGGTCGGAAACTATGCGCTCCTTTTTACGAGGCACCGCAACAATTCCTTAGAGCTCTAACTTATGCTCTTTTCTACAATCCCATTGAAGGCCAAGAAGAAAGGCTGTTTGCTCTCCTTGATTCCAGAGACAGAATGGCTAAGTATGTGATTGGAAATTCGGATAAACCACTTTTTAGATCCGCCGGAAAGAAGTCATTCCTCTATCGGGCTATTCAACCATCAAGTCTTGCTGAATCTCCAGAGGGTGTTGAAGTATTTTTGACAACTTTATCAACATTGTTGTCACCAAGTGCTGAGGAGACTACTCGTTCTCAGTTATTGTCTTGGTTGGATTCTAAACTAGAGTTTGTTTCTCCGTGGGATGTTCCCTTCCTCATTCATCAAGGGCAAAGTTTGAGCGGATTTGAAGTAATTGAGAAGTATTTATTTATTTATATCAAATGGCAGGCGTTTTAATAATAACTATCATTAGCCCTTTGGTTGACTTCAGGTCTCACAGAGAGCAAGGAACATCAAGGTGAAAAAGACAGAAGAGTGTTTCAAAGATGTAAAATAGGCAGACACAAAGGTAGAAAAAGGTGAGGTGAGTACTGTGAAAATAGTCGAATATGGCATAGAGTGAGGTGATGGTAGCTTGAAGTCAGAAGTCAACTGCCAATCAATAGACTCTTTTGCCGTATGAATATACGTTGCCCAGGGTGCACCACGTGGAGGTAAGTCTATCGCACATCCCTGAGTTAAAAAGGTATGATGCACTAAAAATTATTTCAGTTGTCAGCTTACCAGTATTATGGGTTAGGAGTCACGTGATCAATAATTAGCTGGCCAATTTTGTACAGCTTATGTAACATGAAGTTCTCGCAACATCTATTTCGGAATACCTTTCATCTACTCAAATGCACTGGATTCTAGTGACTCATACGAATCGATGAACATTCTGTGAGAAGGGGATGGCTATTAGGTAGGCTGATCAGAAACCTACAAGGTGGGGGGAAAGGATAGTGCCCAAAATGTTGGAGATGAAAATCTGGCAAAATCCACAAATGCGTAAAACCTACGATAAATTGCTTTGTGAGATAAAGTGACGACGGTCAGATAGTCTGCGTTCTTTCATCGTGAGTCCAAAGGGTTAATGGACGAATTAACAAAGAATGTACTGTAATAAGCCAATAGGTTTTACTTTCAAGAGATTCCATAAATGGACTTTTGGAAGTTTATGTTATGTTGCCATTACTATTTGTTTAAACCAACTGCAACTTTAAGGAAAATTGATTCCAAAATACTACGATGGAATGTTTGAACCAACCTAAGCTAAAAACTCCTAATTTTATGAAAAAGCACAAAACTAATTTTACTTAACACTCCTTTTTTACACTAAAATATGATCTTACTTGGTAAGGAAAACCTTTCTGCAGTCTTGAACCAATGCTAGTTTGCAACCAGCTTATTAGGAAATAGATATTACAACAAACTTCAGTTCATGGTAAAATGGGAAATATTTTTGGTTAATGAAAAGTAGAACGATGGTATTAAGTAATTTATAAGCTAATTTCAATTTTTCTCTATTTCAGTTATCTTTCAATAGGCTTTCAAGGTGTTACACTCTAGAACTCGACTTTGTTAGTAGATTTACGACCACATTGTCACTACAGGCAGAAAAGTGGGAAATTCAACCAAGTTTTTTTTGTGTGTGTACAGAGCATCTGCGCGCCTGTTCTCCTTGTGAAGTGGATTCGAAACTGGTACAAATTCCCTGTAAAAGTGCAAAAAAATTCAGTATCTTACCTAGTCACTCATTCGAAAGTGCCCCTTTTGGACACTTGAAGAATGACAGTCAAGTAGATTGACTCACCTCTTCCAAAACTTGCGGTTTTAAACTAGCTCCCCATTCTTAATTTCCCTCTTCCCTCTCCGCATCTTCAAAACGAATGTCTGTTTATGCCTTTAGTGCAGGGAACAAGCTTAAAACGAATTTGTAGTTGCAAAATTTTCAGACGTGCCAATTTCACTCTGTGAATAATCTTTCATTAATCATAGTGACGCAGAACTCCCTAATAAAAATCTAACTTCGATGAAAGAAAGGTATCCAGACGCAGAGCATAAAAAATAACAAGTTCACTTATTGATCAGGATTAAATAGAGCGGTTGAACATCTAGTCGCTGAATGACAGCTGCATCAATTAGTGAAGATCTAATGATTCACACATTATCGTGTTTGCATTCTAGACAATGAGCTTTGGAAAGAGTTCCGACACCACCCAATAGAAGGCCAAACAATAAAAGTAACGGGTTGGCATGTGCGCGAGAGAAAACAATTCGAGCCTTAAATTTGCTTTGACGGCTGGCGACTGGCTCCAAGGCATCTCAACACCACAATACATACTTGATGCCCTAACTTATGACGCACATAAACTCTCACCTTCTGAAATACTATGTGAATTCATTTTTAAACAATACCATCAAAATAACATCATTGTGTGTAAATAAACACAAAATCTGGACTGCAATGCTGGAGCCAAATGACTTAGGTTTATTTTGGTTTTTAATTAAAGATGATAAAGGTAAACAATGACGCTAGATTAAAAATATTGAAGTTCAAAGAAAATTGATTTTTTTTAATGTCAAATGAGGGAAGTTTGATTGGTATAATTAACTTATCAGAGAGCGAAGAGGAGAGGGAGGGGAGTTTGTGGTTGGGCTTGGAGTGTTGGATCACACTTCAAAACGGTGCTTGGGAGAGAGATGTAGAAGGTTTTTAGTTTGACCTAGCCTAAACGTCACTCCTTCAACCACTGAAAAATCCAATTTCTGCTGTTTCTCGAAGTTATGTGCTTCTAAATGATGAATAAAAGTTGTGACGGTAATACCCATGGAAATCGTCTTCATGAAATGTTCAAGATGTATTCGAATATGCATCTGGTGCTTGTAAAGTAGTCTTAGGTAGATAGTCTCATATTTCAGACTGCTTGACAGAGGGTAGGAACATTTAAGCCACAGAAAGTCGAGAGAAGGAACAGAAGAGTGATTCACAGTTGTAAAAGAGACAGACAGACAGACACAAAGGTAGTGAAAA